TGACTCTTCTGACAAACTCATTCTGGCAAAAGGAAGCTGTGGGCCTGACTCATCAGGATAAAAAGCTCGGAAGCAAGCAACCCTGCGGTTTTATAGATTTTATTGGAAAAATAATTAATTCTTGTGGATAAATATCAATAAAATAAATGATCAAATGGTGCTAGAAATCTGGGGAAAAGAACAATAAATCATGGACTATCTCATGGAAGGGGGAACAGAAAATGGGGAAGTGCCACCCGCAAGAAAAGAAGTTGGTCTCTTCCAGTGGAAAAATTGCGTTTAGAGGATTTTTGTTTTTACAGTGTGTTTTAGGGCAAAGGCGCCCTTTATGAATTTGTCCTGCTTCATTTCAAGATGCCCCCTTAAGTGTCGTGTTGTGTTTTGAAACCTGAGACACTTTTCTTTTTTTAATTAATCCTCACTTGTGGATATTTTTTCCATTGATTTTTAGAGAGAGTGCAAGGGAGGAGGGAGAGAGAGAGAGAAACATTGATGTGATAGAAACACATTTGTTGGTTGCCTCCTACATGAACCCTGACCTGGGCTGGGGTCAAATCTGCAACACAGTTATGTGGCCTTGACCGGGAATCGAACTGAAGACCCTCTGGTGCATGGGCTGACGCTCTAACCACTGAGCGCACTGGGCAGCATGAGACCTGAGACACTTTGAACACTGTCCTCATGAGGCATGAACAGGTCAGCCCAAACAACATGCTTTTGCAATGTGTTGCTGTGAGCCAATGACACATTTAATAATAATACATAAATCTAGGACAGTAGGAAGGTCTGTGTAAGGGAAATGGATTGAACTTACACCGAGATGAACCAGTATGCTGTTTGCTTTATGAAACCAATCGTATTTTATTGTAACTTTTGCAATGTCTCTCTTCTCCTTTAGCTATCCTCTAGTCCAAGTAATTTAGCCAGCAGCATGGATTTAGGATGGATTATTTAGGTAACTGTTCTGTTGTGTATGAATCAAATTGCTTTAAAGAAAATAACAAAGTTCATAAAATAATTCCATTTCTATAAGTCCTTTCATGAGAAATCCTCTTATTATCCTAAATGACTCAAAGCAAGCTTCCATCAGTGGATGGTAGCTATTGCCAATTCCTTGTTATGGCCAGATAGGTTGAAGGATTTAGGAGTGAACATTCAGGGTGTGCCTGGGAATTTCTGCTTCTGCAGATCTGGGCTCTGGCTACTTATTAAGATTTTCTTTTGGAACTGATTCTAAGTGGGAGTTTTTTAAGGAAGATCCATTTGCAAGCTAGGATACAAAGCATGTCTAGAGCAAGACAAGCGAGAACGAGTCAGGGTTCAAAACCTGGTTATAAAATTGAAGGGAGAGACTAGGTTTCAATAGCATATTATCCACCTTCCCCATCCCATTTGAAGCTGCCTATCATGCTTCCTAGTGAGCAGACTGAAACATACCTCCCTAAAGCTAATTTTTAAAAAGTCCACAAATTGGGTGAAATAGTTTTTGGAGTGTGAATGTCCAATATCTTGTCTTTTCTATATACATTGCATGCGACTAGAACCAGAAAATACTTATCACTGAAGTACATGTCACCTGTTGGGGCACAGCCCTGTGCCTACTTTACAGCCTTGCTCCCAAAGCATGATCCCCAGAGTAGGAGCACTGGCAAGACCTGGGAGTTTGTTAGAAATGGATGATTTGCACCTTACTCTGACCTACTGAATCAGAATCCACACTTTAAACAAGATCCCAGCGATTTGTTTGCACACTAAGATCTGAGAAGTACCACTTTATAGTGATCTACTATAAAAATCACTCTTTGGACCACTTTTTGGACTACTCTGACCTTGTACTGAGCGAAGACTATTGTTTGAACAGGGGCTGTCTGGCGACCTCTGCAATGATTTATAGAACGGGCTTCTCTGTTTCTCTACCAGCTGCCTGCCTGCTGTGCTTAGGAAGTGATTATGTCCCATAATTAACTTTGTGGAAGGCACATTTATCTACACAAACTGTATCTGGGAAGGTGCCATTAAATAAAGTCACACAATACACACCAAAGCTATGTGTGGGATGGTGCAGTGTGAAGTTGACAAGCTCTTAACATTTATCAAAGAAAATGGAAGGGAAATGTCCCATTTTACCACTAGGTGGAAATAGAGTAATTCTGAGTATATTCTGTAGGGTCATGAACTACAGTAGGAAAGATAAAATAATTTACTGTAATTCTTACCGCCTTCATTTCACAGATAAGAAAACTCAGGTTCAGAGATATTAAGTAAAATTGCATCTGTGTTCTAGAGCTACCAGGGAAGACTTGCTAGTAATTTCTGATTTACAGGATATGACACCTATATTACCTCCATGCTTTGACTAAAACTAATGGGTAGCACAGTATTTTATGTTTGTAAGGACAGACCAGGAAGCAAGGATTCCTCCTTGTCCCCTGTACTGTAATGCAATTAATCTCAGTCAAGCAAAAATTCTCCCCTGTTCTCCAACAGGGAAACACTCAAGCATCCCATAAAGTCATACAAGACTTTCATCAGATTTATTTTCACAACATTTTTGGGTTTTATACCATACATTGAGCTCAAGTTAAGTAGCCTAGAACAGGACTTTAGTTAGCAGGTTAAGGACGTACTTACTGCTTTTCAGAGCTTGAAATCCATTGCCATTATTCTTAATCTGGGCTTGTAAGACATACAAGTGATCTACTCCAGTCTCTGTCTGTGTATATATAACTACAGGTGCGAGGCATCAGAGAACAAGGGATTGAGTACGTTGCCCACAGTAGCAGAGCCCTCGCCAGGTTCTTTGTCCCATGGAGACACTCACAGGTATGTTGGCCTACATCTTTGTTTTGTTTGTTGGAGTGTTGTAACCACAAAAGGATTATTTCCACTTATTTCATCAAAAAGTGTGTTAAAAGGTTAAGTTTTAGGTAACGCCTCTGGTTTAAAAACTATTTCTTAAGCACCTAAGTATTTAGTATTATCGTGACATTTTCCTTTTGATAGTTCTATAACATGATTGGTTATGAGTAGCTAAAATTTAGTATTTCAGTACTGAGTTCTGGCTATTATCATTTTATTCCATACAAAAATGGGTAAAATGCTGGATCAGCACATTAAGAATGCAAGTCCAGCCCTGGCCAGTGTGGCTCAGTGGATTGAGCATCTTCCCATGGACTGAGAAGTCCCGGTTCAATTCCTGGTCAGGGCACATGCCCAGGTTGTGGGCTCATTCTCCAGTAGGGCACATGCAGGAGGCAGCCGACCCATGTTTCTCTCTCACATGGATGTTTCTATCTCCTCTCTCTAAAAAATCAATAAAAACAGATTTATAAAACAAACAAACAAACAAAAAACAAAAAAGAATGCAAGTCCAAATGCACAGAGGAGGGGAAGTGGGCTGCCAGAGGTGTCTGGAAGCCATCCCTTGCATCACTGAGCAAACGATGCTCAGCTGCCCTCAGAACATGAATGTTTTCTTAGCAGTAAGGCTCAGTGAAGGCCTGCAGAGACAAGTACTTGGCTTTTGCTGCTCAGTATGAAAATGGTTCCTAACATTATGTATTCAGCACACAGTCTTGCACATAGAAGACCCTCAATAAATATGTGGTTAATACACTACACAAATAGAAACCAACTCTGAGCTATTCAACTAGCACAAAAGGAGAACTGGGGGGACATAAAATTAGGGCAGGGACTTATAATGAAACCAGCCATGGCAGGGGAGAAAATGCCCTGACGCATGCTGGGAGATGACAAACCAGCTTCAGTGGAGTCGGATATGATTCAGGGGCTGCAGGGAGCCAGAGGCAGCCAGGTGTGGTCCTATTTCACATGGTTTGCAGTGAGAAAGACCCAGACAGAGATTCTGGTCCTGCCACTCTGCAAACTTTCCCTGCCTTATTTCCTCTTTCAATAAACTGGGATAACACTTGTTAGCAAAACTTGGGTGGAGATTAGAGTTACTAGATATGAAGTGCCCAGGAAGCAGGGCTCTGGCACAAGCAGCACCCAATAAAAGAGACCTAAAGTCCATCAAGGCAGCTGCCTTTGCCTGGCAACTTCCTCACCCGAACCCCACTCACTCCCACAGGGACGTAGTAGCACAGAGTAAGCTCTGTGACAAGTACACTTAGAAAATTATAACTTCTACACACAAAAACAGGGTATTGTTATGACTTAAGGTGAAGAGAAAAGGCCCTGGAGTCCGAAGCCTCTGGGGTTTGAGAAGAAACCATGAAGGCATCACTCTTTTTGGACTATAAACTAATGAAACATTCCAGTGTGGGGACATTTAATAGCAAATGGCAGGCACTTAAGCTAAAACTTCGTAGGGAGTTTTAGTTTGGAAACCGAACTTCCCGGGACACCGCCCACGCCGCACCTTCTGATAAAATCGTCTAACTCGTTCAGCTATATACCCACCTTGAGGTCCTAATTGGGCCGGGGTTGGACTGAGAGTGGGGAGAACAGGTCTCTCAGGAAGGTGTGGGATGTGAGGATGTTCAATGACTAGGAGCAGAGATGAGTAAGGAAAAGACATTCATCAAACCATCAGTCTGCCAAACCGTTGATCAATCCATTTGTGCCGCCAGATCCCAATGAGGGTTCATCTATGCTTTGGGGTATTTTAAATGGAAAGGGGGCGGTGGCTTGGAGCTAAGACGTGGGGTCCCGGGAGAGGCGGCGGGCTCCGGCGACTCCCTGGCTTCCCAGGTGTGAGGGGGCGGGAGAAAGTCAGGGGCCACAAGAGAGTCAGGGGCCGCATCCCGGGCGCCAGGGGCGCGCCGGGCGGGTCAGGGCCTACAGGCGGCGGGGGAGGAGCCCGGGTCCGGAGCTGGTGGAGCCGGTCCACACCTTCTGACCTAAGTGCCAGTGCAGGGCGTGGTGGGGGCGTGGCAGGAGCCGGCGAGGCCCTCCTCCCATTGGCTGTTCGGCGCCGCCCCTCCCTGCGCTGTGGATATAAAGTAGCCTCGCTCACCAGGGACCTCCTGCCACGCATCAGCTCAGCATTCTCTGCTCCGGTCGCCCGAACGCCTCCTGCACCCACCATGGCCACCATTCAGCAGCTGGTAGGAAGATGGCGCTTAGTGGAGAGCAAAGGCTTCGAAGAGTACATGAAGGAACTAGGTGAGGCACCCGGCCTGGCGGGGTCCGCAACGTGGCGTGCGCGCGCGCGCGCGTGTGTGTGTGTGTGCGCGGATGTGTGTGTGTGTATCCCGCGTCCTCTTCGGCGTGCTGGGCTCGGGCGGACATGCTCGGCCGCCACTTCCAACCTCTTCTCATCTTCCCGCCTGCAGTCCCCACCACGCGGCCCTCTGCACCACGCGGCTCAGCCGCCGGGAGAGCGGGGCTTGCGCGCCAGCCGCAGGTCCCAAGAGTCCCGGGTGTCCCGCCGCGTGGTGCATCCAGCTCTCTGCTACTTTACCCACTTTGCCCCAATTTTTCTGTCCCCACCACTAATTTTCCCTCTTCCCGACACCCTCCTTTCTCTCCCCATAGTGGGCTCACCCACTCCCCGGTCCCCTTCTGAGCCTCCTCTGCCACATCTTTTGTTCCTCGGTGGCGTGCAGGTCCCCTCCTTCTCTCCGGGACGAGGTACCTGTAGAGGAGCGTCTGAACGCCACTACAGCCTCAGCTTTCGGCCAGCTGTCGCTCCCACCCCGGGCTCTTTGGGTGGCACAGCTCCCTGGAGCATCCTTCCCTCCGACCCCAGAGGCATGACGTCGGCAGTGCTGACCTTGTCTGGCGTTCGTGCTTGGGGCTGCAGTGGGCAGGTGGCCGAAAGTGCCCAGGTATGGGTGTGCGCCTCGGCTTTGACCCTTGCAGGTCAGGGGTGAGGGGTGAGTGAGTTTTTTTTATTGGAGAAGCGCCTTCAGACCCTGCGGGGCCCTTCTGCTGCGACTTTCTATCAGCAGGCAGGATGGGCGTGGCCCTGCAGAAGGCACTTCTTAATGCTAAGAAGAATGGGTCCCTGGGAAAAGGTTCAAATACAGTGTCTTGCTCAAAATCGTGCTTCATCATCGACCTTCCCCAAACCAATTAGGAGGATTGCATGTTGGTTGAGACACTGGGTAGATTAGCAAACAAAAATGGACCTTTGTCACAGGCTATTAGGAAGTTGGGATGGAGTGGCATAGCTGGGTCTTGTCTGAAAGGGGGCTTCCAGCCCAGAGAAAATTGTGGGAGGATAAGGGGGCTTTAAAAGCTGCCATCCCACCACTGTTAACTGGCTGCTCTCGGTGCAGAAGTCACTACAAAGACCCTCTATTGAAATCTAGTCCCTGCTGCATTCAGAACCACTCTTTCACTGGTGTTTCTGCAAGACAGTGACTAGTTCAGGCTGCTTCCGGGGGGAATCTTGAGTGTACTGAGGATACTAGGAGTACAGCAAGAAAGCTGCAGTTTTCTTTTTTCTCACTGTAAACCTAGACTGAGATGACCAAAAAAAAGCTGCTCACACTACACTCGTATCCAAGAAATACACTATTTGTGTATGTTCACCTCTCTGAGGACCATGCATTCTTTGCCCATCGAAAGCAAGTGTGTTAATCACATGGCTTGTTTGCAAGGTTCTGGAGTCTCAAGTGTTGCCAAGATCAATTCACTAGAATGCAGTCATGGAGTGGGAAGAGCAGAGCTCTGCATTTGTCCAAAATGAGAATAAAGAGTAACTTAACCAACAGCAGAAGGCACCAACCCTGCGCTGGCAGAAGAGAGAGCTCAAGGGGATATTTCAATCCTAGCAGTTTGTCATCTAGCCTGTTCTTCTTTTTTTTTTTTTATCCTCACCAGAGGACTTTTTTTTTTTTTCCATTTATCTTCAGATAGAGTGGGAGGGAGAGAGAGAAACATCGACGGAGAGAGACACATCGAGTGGTTGCCACCCACACGACCCCAACCGGGGCGGGAACAAACTGCAACTGAGGTATGTGCTCTTAGCAGGAACCGAACCTGGGACTCTCCTGTCCGCAGGCCAACGCTCTAACCGCTGAGCCAAACTGGCTAGGGCTAGCCTGTTTTTCTATGTATGTAGTAATCTCATCTGAAACAGGGCTTTGGTCCCACACTAAGTTTTTTTTGCCACATTTAACACCCAGGGACATTCATAGATTACATATTAGATGTGACAGCAGCATAGTAATTTGAGTTACATACCTATGAAATATTCTCTGTTTTTAAGGGTAAGATTTTTTTCATTTGTTACCATCATGATTGTGCTGTTTAATCTTTTAAAACATCGTGCTGAGTATCTCAGCATCGGTTTCTATTTGTGTGGTGTATCAATCAAATGTTTATCAAGGGCCTTTTCTGTGCTGGACTGTGCTGGATGGAGTTCTATCATACAACTGTCAGCAAAATTGAGTAGGTCAATTCTAGAAGTCCGGATTGCTTCCTTTGCTTTCTGGAGGCCAGCACAGCATGGTGGCCACGAGCTGAGATTTGGAGCCAGACTGCCTGCACTGATGGTTGCCAGCTCATCATTTCCTAGCTGAGTGAGCTTTCGTAGGTGACTTCAGTGAATCAGCTTGTCATCTTTAAAAAGAAGGCAATGCTATTCTCCCTGCTCATAGGGTGTTCTCAAGGTTTCCGTGAATTCGTGTGTGTCGAGTGCTATCAAGTGGTGAGCACTGGGTATGTGTTTGCGATAGTTCTCGGTAAGTGAGTAGGTGAAAATACACATAGCACATAATGACAATGGAATCATGACTTTCATTCTGTAAGCGGTAACCCTGGTCTTCCTGATATTGAACGTGATTGACATTCACAGGCGTGGGGATGGCTCTGCGGAAAATGGGCGCCATGGCCAAGCCAGACTGCGTCATCACTTCTGATGGCAAACACCTCACCGTGAAAACCGAGAGCACATTGAAGACAACACAGTTCTCTTGCGACCTGGGAGAGAAGTTTGAAGAGACTACAGCTGATGGCAGAAAAACTCAGGTCAGGCATAACTTACATAATCACAGAAGCTTCTAGAATGATAGATGGTATGCATATCATTCCTACCCTGTACAGGCAAGAACTGAATGAAAAAAACTCACTTATTTTATGAACTGAGTTGCCAAATTAGTGTGAAAGGACCAGCTTCACAACTTATCTATTTTGTAAATAGTTGAAAGAATGCGAGAGTTTGAGTCTTGCTCACATGCATCTCAGCTGAAAAACATCAACTATATTATGAATAAAATTGGCCTGAAGTAGACCCAGAAAGGAAAAATTGAAAAAATGTTGATTAAGGGTGTTATGAGTCATGGAAACTGCCCTTTAATGTAGGTTGGAAAATTAAAAAGTGTACTTTATTTCTGCAGACCGTCTGCAACTTTGTGAATGGCGCATTGGTGCAACACCAGGAATGGGACGGGAAGGAAAGCACCATAACCAGAAGACTGGACGGCGGGAAGTTAGTGGTGGTAAGTGCTGTCCGCTTGGGCTTCTTGTTTGCGTTCATAGTTCACGTAACTGCATATCACTGATCATGAGCAGGACAACTAGGTTGGAATAGAAAAAAATGCAAAATAACAAGTTAAACACCAAACCACTGAAAACTAAAAAGTCCTCTGTGGGGTCAGAGAAGTGAGCTGATGTGGCTGTGGTGTCGCTGGAGCTGGGTTTTGTCTGTGCCCCACTGTGGCTGTCCAGCATCATCTTGGGCCTGCCGCCAAACTACCCTCTAGGGCATACACTTTTCCATTTCTTTAAAATGAGGAATACTGCCTTGGCTGGTGTGGCTCAGTTGGTAGGAGCCCTGTCCCGTACACCTAAAAGTTGAGGGTTTGATTCCAGGTCAGGGCAAAATACCACAAAAACCCTTTAAAATGAGGAATACTATTTGCCAAGACCAAATGAATAATTTAGATATTACAAATCAACACATTAGTATTCAGCACAACATATACTAATCTTAAGCAAGATAACGGGTTTTAGCTTTTCAAACCCAGGAATCCTAACGTGTATTTTTTTCATCTGTGAAATAGATGACAAGGTTTCATAGGATTCTCATCCTAGCACTCAACTTCTACCATTGCCCCGGGATGCAAGACTGATCTAACCCTTCAATATCGTTCTCTCTCTCACAGGAATGCGTCATGAACAATGTCACCTGTACTCGGATCTATGAAAAAGTAGAGTGAAAATGCCATTATCCTTCCAGACAGGAATTAGCTGTGAGGATAACAAGCTCAGTTCAATGAGCAAATCTTTCCATGCTTTTTTTTTTTACTGTGTTCAGTTATCTTTATCATAAACATTTTACATGCAACCATTTCTGAGTGTTGGTTTAATTAGGATCAACTCTTTGGTTAGTAAATAAATGTGTTTATGCTATACCAGTGTTTTCTGCTTTTTTTTTTTTAACTTTATAGGAAATTAGTGATAAATTTTAACAATAATGAATTGCATAAATTCTCAGGTAGTCTTGAGGGTACTATGTGGAGATTATATTTTAGCAATTTATATAGAAAGCCACCTTCTGTGGCAGATACATTACCCATCACTTAAACTTGCCCTATGCTATTTGAACTTTGTGTCAACTCACAAATCTTACATTTCTGGCAGAGACAATTGTCATGAAAAAATAGCCACATGCACTTTATAATTTAAATATTATTGAAATTAGGCCAGTTAATAACCCGACAATGGCCCCTAAGTGTTCAAGTGAATGGAAGAGTCACATGTCTCTCACTTCAATTCAAGAGCTAGACATGAGTAAGCCTAGGGAGGATGGCATGTTGAAAGCCAAGACAGGCTGAAAGCTAGGCCTCTTGTACCAAACAGCCAAGTTGTGAAAGCAAAGGAAACATCCTTGAAGAAAATTAAAAGTGCTACTCCAGTGAACACATGAATGATAAGAAAGCAAAACAGCCTTATTGCCAATATGTAGAAAGTTTAGAGGTCTGGATAGAAGATCAAAGCAACCCCAACATACCTAAGCCAGTGGTTCTCAACCTGTGGGTCGTGACCTCTTTGGAGTCGAGTGACCCTTTCACAGGGGTCGCCTAAGACAGTAGCAAAACTACAGTTATGAAGTAGCAACAAAAATAATTTTATGGTTGGGGGTCATCACAACAAGAAGAACTGTATTAAAGGGTCAAGGCATTAGGAAGGTTGAGAACAACTGTGGCCTAAGCCAAAGCCTAATCCAGAGCAAGACCCTAGCTCTCGTTAAGTCTGAAGGCTGAGGAAGCTGTAGGAAAAATGTCTGAAGTTAGTAGAGTTTAGCTGGAGGTCTAAGGAAAGAAGCCACTGCTTTATTGTGGTGGCCTGGAACTGAATCAGCAACATCTTTTATGGGGCAATGCTGCTCTAGATTTACTTCCCCCTCTGAATTTCCATCTTGATTATTTTTGTCTGCATCCTAGAGTTCCTTTCATCCCCTTGTCCCACTTCTAGTGACAGTGTGCATTATTGTCCCTGCACCAAACACTTGGCCAAGTAATTCTCAGAGCCACCCAAGGTGTTCACTATCACATTCTGCCGAGTCTAGAAAGTGACCCCAAGCCACACAAGCGGCTCAAATATGAGAGTAGATTGGAGCACAGGATTCTCTGATTTTAGTCCTGTGCCCCACCACCTACCATGTTCTCGTTTCTATCCTTCTGCTCATGGACTAGGCATTGCTTGTGGGGCGGGGGGAGAGGGGGGTGTCATAGACCCACGTTTCTCATATGGGGGAGCTTTGACATTGTGAGTGAGGAGTTATCTTCATTGTGTTGTACTGTGGTAAGAAATGTAGGATCAGCATCCTAAGATCATTGCCACAAAATGCCCATGGCATCCATCAGTCTACCCTGAGCACCCTACACATTTCCAGATGTCTTCTAAGAGACACCAAACCTAGTTGAGAATGATGGGGAAGAACAAAGGAATCTGAACTTTATATTATCTGGTGTCAAGCCCTTCTTTCTCCCAAGCAATCCATCAATGTCAGTGGACATTGCAAAGATATGAACTAGGCCCTTATTGGATATTTGGTTTTTCTTGGAACTGGTGGTGTGTGGGAATGTATCCAGGTTACTTCAACAACACCGATCTCGGGGGACACTCCCTTTGGCCCCAGACTTACCAGATCCCCTGTGTTCTCTTCTGTGCTTCAACACTCACTGCAGATACCTGCTGGATGGCTCCCCGTGGATATCATCTCTAATTTCAAACAAGTTTACCCTTTCTAAACTAGAGTTGATGATTTATGTGCTTGGGTTTTGGAAGCAAACAGTCCAGATATCCAATCTTGGCTCTCTACCCTTGAAGAGCTATGTAACTTAGGGCAGGTCACTTAACTTTTCTGAACTATAGTCACATCCTTTGTAAAAAGATAGAATATCGCCGGACTTGGAGATTTGTTTCCAAAATTTAATGACAGAGAATACGTAAAGCATTCAGCACAGGGCCCAGCACGCAGAAGAGGCTTCATGTCTCTCCAGTATTGCCCAGCAGAACTTTCAGCAGCGAAGGAAAAGTGTGACATCCATGCTGTCCTATCCAATGGCAGTAGCAGACATAAGTGGGTATTAAGCACTTGAAATGTGCTGAATTTTTAATTGTATGAAACTTTGATTAATTAAAATGAAAATTTAAATGCCCACAGATGGTTAGTGATGGCTGATTTGGACAACACAGGAAACTAATCTCTTGTTTTCAAAATTGAATTTCTTATTTTTTATTCTAAACCTGGTCCTCTTGTGGTATTCACCACGTCAGTCCATGGGACTGTTATTTTTCCAGTTCCAAGGCTACATGCCTTGGAGTCATCTTTAACTTTTATCGCTTCCATGCCATATCTAATCCATTAGCAAATGATTTCCACTTTATTTTATATATATATATTGTTTGTTTGTTTTGTTTTGCTTTGTTTTAAATTAATTAATTAATTTTTGTTACAGATGTTTCTCCTTTTCCCCCCAATGATTCCCCCTTCCCCTTCCTCCCTGCCCTGTCCCCAGCTTTGTTGTCCATGTCCATTGTTCATGCATACATGCATATAAGTTCTGTGGTTTATCTCTCCCCCACTATCCCCTCTTCTGGGCATTGTCAGTCTGTACCCCACTTCCACGTCTCTGGAACTACCCCATTCCTCAGACTGTTATGTTCATTATATTCCACAAATCAGTGAGATCATATGATACTTGTCTTTCTCTGTTTGGCTTGTTTCACTCCAGATAATACTTTCCAGGTCCCTCCATGTCATCTCAAAGGATAAGAGATCTTTCTTTCTTACAATTGCATAGTACTTCATTGTGTATATGTACCACCACTTTTTTATCCATTCGTCTACTGATGGACATTTGGGCTGTTTCCAGATCTTAGCTATTGTAAATAGTGCTGTTACAAACATGGGGGTACATATATTCTTTCTGATTGGTGTTTCAGGCTTCTTAGGGTATATTCCTAGAAGTGGGATCACTGGGTCAAATGCCGGTTCAATCTTTAGTTTTTTTGAGGAAACACCATATTGTTTTCCATAGTGGCTGCACCAGTCTGCATTCCCACCAGCAGTGTACTAGAGTCCCATGTTCTCCACACCCTCGCCAACACTTGTTGTTTGATGATTTGTTGATGGTGGCCATTCTGACAGGTGTGAGGTGATACCTCATTGTTGTTTTAATTTGCATCTCTCTGATGACTAGTGATGTTGAGCATTTCTTAATATGTCTCTTAGCCATTTGTATGTCCTGTTTAGAGAGGTGTCTTTTTAATTCCTTTCCCATTTTTAAAATTGGGTTCTTCGTTTTTCATTTGTTGAGTTGTATGATCACACTATATATATTGGAAATCAACCACTTAAGTGATATATCATTGAAAATTATGCTCTCCCATACAGTGGGTTGCCTTTCCATTTTGATGATTGTATCTTTTGCTGTGCAGAAGATTTTTAATTTGATGTAGTCTCATGTGTTCATTTTCTCCTTTGTTTCTGTTGCCTTAGGTGATGTATCAGTAAAAATTCTGCTGTGTTTGATGTCTGAAATTCTGTTGCCTACATTTTCTTCTAGGATTTTTATGGATTCATGAGTCACATTTAAGTCTTTTATCTATTTTGAGTTTATTCTTGTGTATGGTGTAAGTTGATGGTCTAGTTTTATTTTTTTTGCATGTAGCTCTCTAATTTTCCCAACACCATTTATTAAAGAGGCTGTCTTTACTCCACTGTATGCTCTTGCCACCTTTGTCAAATATTAATTGAGCATATTGCCTTGGGTCCATTTCTGGGTTCTTTGTTCTGTTCCACTGGTCTATATGCCTGTTCTTGTGCCAGTACCAGACTGTTTTGATTGCAGTGGCTTTGTAGTATAACCTAAAATCTGGTAATATGATCCCTCCAACTTTGTTCTTCTTTTTCAAGATTGCTATGGCCATTTGAGGTTTTTTTTTTTTTTTTTGTTCCATATGAACTTTTGAAGTATTTGTTCTAGTTCTGTGAAGTATGTCATTGGTATTTTGATGGGGATTGCATTGAATCTATAGATTGCTTTGGGTAGTATGGACATTTTAATGATGTTGATTCTTCCAATCCATGAACAGGGTATGTGTTTCTATTTTTTTATATCTTCCTCTATTTCTTTTTTCAATGACCTATAGTTTTCTGCGAATAGGTCCTTTATTTCTTTGGTTAAGTTTATTCCTAGGTATCTTAATTTTTCTGCCGCGATTGTAAATGGGATTGTTTTTTTAGTTGCTCTTTCCGTGAGTTCATCATTGGTGTATAAGAATGCCATTGATTTCTTGACATTAATTTTGTATCCTGCTACTTTGCTAAATTCATTTATTAAGTCTAGTAAATTTTTGATGGAGTCTTTGGGGTTTTCTACATATAGTATCATGTCATCTGCGAATAATGACAGTTTCACTTCCTCCTTTCCAATTTGGATCGTATTTATTTTTTCTTTCTGTCTGATTGCTGTGGCTAAGACTTCCAGTACCATGTTAAATAAGAGTGGCGAAAGTGGGCATCCTTGTCTTGTTCCTGTTCTTAAGGGAAATGCTTTTAGTTTTTGCCCATTGAGTATGATGTTGGCTGTAGGTCTTTCATATATGTCCTTTATAATGTCGAGATATGATCCCTCCATTCCTAGATTGCTGAGCGTTTTTATCAGAAATGGGGGCTGGATTGTGTCAAATGCTTTTTCAGTGTCTATTGATATGATCATATGATTTTTATCTTTCATTTTGTTTATGTGGTGTATCACATTTATTGATTTGCGAATATTGTACCAGCCTTGCATTCCTGGAATGAATCCCACTTGGGCATGGTGAATAATTTTTTTGATGTATTGCTGGATTCGATTTCCTAGTATTTTGTTTAGGATTTTGGCATCTATGTTCATCAG